CCTACACAAAAAAAAAAGGTGAAAATCCAGCGAAACACGTTTACCATTATGGACAAAATCTTTGACTTAAGAGTTAAAACCATACGGAGCAAATCTTTGACGTGAGATTGAACAACTCACTGAACCCTTTGACTTTTAAGTAGTTAGCAGAAGTTAGCAGAGAAAAAGCAAACTAAACTGTGACCCCAAATCATGTTGGCACTTGGGCAGCTAATTAGCTACTTGCTCACCTTTTTATTTATTTATTTGTTGTTTTTTTTTATTGAAGCTTCTTGCTTACCTGTTTTGAGAAAACATTCTTAACCAATACTTTTCTTTTGCTCCTACCGTTGATTGCTAAGGGAATTTTAATAAGTTTAGGCATCATGATTTTTTTAAAAATTTTTTTTTACAAAAAATTTAAATAATTAATTTGACTTTACAATCATAGCTTTAATTAGCCCCAATACAACATTTTTTATCCCCTTTAACAAAGAAAAGTATTGTGGTTTGCTGGCATAACCTAGCCGTAATTTTCATTGACCCTAACGATTACTAAATTGATATAATTAACGTAATTATCACACCATTTTATAGCATAAACATGAATACCATTAAAATAATTGATATGTAAGTTTTGACATTTCTAAAAATTTTTAAAAAGATTGCTATATTTCTACTCCACAATCATGATTTTTGATGTATTGTAATTTTTACCGGGAGTGTTCAAAAAAACCTCCAAACCATAAAAATCGTCGAATGTCTCGTTCATTTCACCGATTCGAGTTTAGAATTCGAGTTTTGCTACAGTAAAAAGCTCTCAGAAACAGTCACATCTAACTTTTTTACTACAGTAAAAAGCTCTCACATAAAGTCACATCTCAACTCGAATTAAAAACTCGAATCAGCGAACTAAACGGGTCCGTTCTCCAAAAGAACATACCCTAAATCATTAATTATATTTGAATTATTGGCTGTTTGGTCATTTTTTAATCTAACAGTTCGTTTAGTTCGCTGATTTGAGTTTTTAATTTGAGTTGTGATGTGATTTTATATGAGAGTTTTTTACTGTAGTAAAAAAATTAGACGAGACTATTTCTGAGAGTTTTTTGCTGTAACAAAACTCAAATTTTAAACTCGAATAAGTGAAATGAGCGGAGCCTAATTTTTTTTACGAGATTTGGTTTGTGTTTTAGACTCCCTAAACCGCTCAATAACCCACAAAAATATACATATATAATTTTTTAATTTTTAAAATATTTTTATATTATGTGTTGTTTTATCAAATTTCGTAAGAAATGAAAAGCACAAACATAAGGGTCTGTTTAGTTCGTTGATTTAAATTTTAATTCGAGTTAAGATGTGATTGTATGTGAGAGTTTTTTATTGTAATAAAAAAATTAAATGTGACTATTTCTGAAAATTTTTTACTGTAATAAAATTTAAATTTAAAATTCAAATCGTTAAAATAAACGAGCTTTTATGGTTCTCAATTCTCATGTGTGTGTACTACAAACACAATACGAATAATGACACTTGCAATAGGCCAAAGGGGAATCCGTTTTTGTTTCCTTCTTGCTTTCTTATATACAAACGAAAAAATGTTTAAAAGGAAGACATATTAAAAATATATTTAGTGAATTGAGTTTTTAATTTTAAATTAAAATATAATTTTATATAAAATTTTTTTATTATAATAAAAAAATTAAATATCACTGTTTTTAAATTTTTTTTATTATAATTAAATTATTAGTGAAGTAAACGAACTTATTATAAATTCGAGAGAAAGTGAAGACCGCGACCAAAAGGAAGACGTACGTGTTAAAAATCACCTGAAGAAACCGGACCAAGCCAAAATTTAAAAAAAGTGTGCAGTCATCATCTCTCTCTCAGAAACCAGAGAGAACCTGAATCAAAACGCACCCCCGCCGTCTTTGCAGAGCGGGAAAACGGCCAAGAACTCCAATAACTCATAAATGAAAAGCATAGAAATAGTACCCCCGCTCTAAATCTTGTAATTCTTTTTTTTTTTTTTTCAAACTTCTCTTTTTCCCATAAAAAAAATAGGCATGCATTGAAGAAAGAAACTAGCCAGCTAGAGAGAGCCTCTCGAATATATACAAAAACATATGAAAAATTGACATGTATATTTATATATATATATATCCACACATACATGTCTTTTGATCAGTTACATGTCACACAAAACATTTCCCTTTTTTTTTTTTTTCAAACTTCTCTTTTTCCCATAAAAAAAATAGGCATGCATTGAAGAAAGAAACTAGCCAGCTAGAGAGAGCCTCTCGAATATATACAAAAACATATGAAAAATTGACATGTATATTTATATATATATATATCCACACATACATGTCTTTTGATCAGTTACATGTCACACAAAACATTTCCCTTTTTTTTTTTTTTTTTCTGAAAGAAAAGAAGAGTTGCCATCCAAAGAAATCCCAAACACCCTCTTTTGGGTCCCTCACACTCGTGTCTTTATCCAAAAAAACCTTTTTGTCTTTGGTGTCCATTTTCCCGGTTCCCTCTAACTATCGCTCTCTCTCTCTCTCTCTCCTCATTTTTCTTCCCAAGCCTCTCTCGTTCGTCTCCCTTAATAATTTATTGTTGTTGTTATTTGCTTCTTCTTTTGATTCCTTTGCCGTTATGTCTTCATCTTCATCGTCCGAAGATGGCAACAATGGCATTGATGTCGCCGGCCCAAGCACAAGAAGACCAAGAAGAGCGCCTCGTGGTCGCGGCGGTGATTTTGAAGGGCCGTCGCCGTCACGGCGGCGAGCAAATAACGACGTGTGGCCGGAGCCTTTTATTGAAGCTGTCGCCATCCAAGTCGCCACTGAGGCCGCTCGCTCCATTGGTCGCCTCGCCGCTGCGCTTGCTCTAGCCAGTGTCTTTCAGGTACCACACGTTTATTTATTTATTCATAATTTTATAAATCGATTGATTGATATGATCAAGAACACTATTTTTGCGTCAAGTTCTGATCATTAACATTGTCAAACTTTTTGCGCCTTTTTTTTAGCAATGCGAATTTTGTTACTGTTGTGTTTTTTTGTTTTTGTCGGGGCATAATTTTGTTACTAATGGACTAAGCATTAATTTTGGATCAATAATTCAATAACGGTTATTGTGTTTTAGCACTTTTTTTGGTGGGTTTTTAGTGTTTACTAGATTCACAGTGAGTAATATATATATATACACTGTATCGTGTGTTTAGTATGACTGTATGAGCTTGCAACCTAGAGGGAATTTTTTGTTTTTTTGTTTTTGTTTTTAAAGGTCAGTCAATCCCTATCAAAATTAAAATGTCCCTTTCTCATGCTATGGTGTGGTCTCCTTTCAATCGGCAGGTTATTAACTTCCCTTTTGTCATAATTTGGGAATGTCTATTTTGGAGCCTTTTGTATTTTTGATTTTTTTTTTGGTATTTTTTTTTTCCCTCTTTCTCCATATCTTATGAAAAGGGTTCTTTTGGCTTTAGATTTCCCTTTTTCCCTTTATTGGCATGTATCTCTTTTCAGCCTCTAAATATTCCCCTACTTTTTGACTCGACTTTCTTAGCTTTCTAGAAAACTTATAGGGATATGCCCTTTTTCCCAGCTTCTAATACCAAAATGTTGATGACCTTTGAAGCCTATATCATAGAGGAAAAAAAAATAAAAAAATAAAACTAAGCAGTGCTAGGAATTTTTAGCACGATTTAAGGAGAGTTTGTGTCTCTTACCGCGCTTGTGCATACGTTGCATTTCTATATTTAGCTAACACCACATATACGAAGTGTTACCTTGGCTTTTGACAGTTTCGCAGCATAGAGATCCATTCCGGTAATAAATTTGACTTTGTTTTTTTGGGTTTTGTAACACTTTTTTTTTTTTTTTACTTGTTTATTATCTATATCAAGAAAACAGGTACACTTCTACAGTTACCTTCATAAGACAAATTGTAGGATATTGTTAGCAAGAAAACATAAAAGAAATCCTAAGGTAGGATGTCAACAAGTGGGCCTACAGTCAATGAATGAAGGATCATTATATAAATAAAAAATAAAGGATTCAGATGAATAGTTAATTTCTGGGAACACATAATATATATGTATATGCATATAGAAAATGTAATAAGGCCTTGAGATCTCAAAGCAGTTTTGATGGGTTTTGTTATGGCATATCAGTCAAAAGCCAGCATGTGCTGGTGCCAAAAGCACATGGAGCCCAATGCCTGCTTCACAAAACTGATTTTCCCCTTGTCACCTCAAAGAGATATGGTTTTCTCTTTTACCATTACCCATCGGGCGACTTCTATTTTGTTTTTTTGTTTATTTTGTTTTTTTCCTTGAGACTTTCTTTCTTTGATGTTTTCTTTGAAGTTGTTTTGTTTTAGGCATTAATTTATTCTCTGTTTGATACAACTGTTTGTTTTTCCTTTGTCTTGTTGAGCTAGAGACAACACTCATCTATCAGAAACTTTTAACTAATTGGAAAAAAAAAAAACCCCACCACCATAATTTAAATTCCTAGGCTTTTAATCCTGAATTTAAAAAAAATAAAAAATAAAAACTTTTTGAATAAAATAATGAAGAACTGGATCTAGGGTAAAGCCAGCTTGAACAAGATGATCTTGAGGAAGCAAATAGGGTCAATATGAGGAGGTAGATCTGCATAAGTGGGAAAGTGTTAGTTTGAGAGTCAAATTTACAAGTAGAGGAAAAAGGTGGAGGATTTGAGGATAAAAGATTCGTTGCTTTTAACGAGACAGGCCTTTGGCTTCTCCTTTCTTGGAAATGAAAGAGAAACGTGTGGGGAAGCACGCTTTGTACTCCTATGTTTATGTCTATTTATATATATATATATATGCTCTACATATATATTTGTATGGACCACAAACAATAAAACTATTTCTATTAGGGTTTATTCTTGTCCTCTTCTTTGTTCTCTCTAAATTAATGCCCATTTAAATTCTTCACTTACTGCCAATTAGCCTTCCCAATTTCCCATGGAGTGTCTTCCTCATCAAAAACCACCCTTTTTATTTTTCTTTTTGATCAATTCCTAGCCATGTTAGTACTTTCAAAAATGAATTCTGTGGAAAAATTAAGGTTAAAAAGTGTAACATAAAGGACAAATTAATATGCAAATTAACAGTCTTGTATGTGGTTGTTTTTTTTTTTTTTTCGTACGAATGGGTAGGGTAACTACTAACTAGGATCATAGGGGAATAATATTTTAAGATTTGGACTGAATAGGCTTAACGAAAGATTTTTGCTTGTCCTTTGTTGGGGTCACGGTAGCAATACGTAACTGCAATTGTACTTTTATGTACCGGCTGTAACCTGGATTGTCTTTTTCTTTGTTTTCTTAATAGTTTTTCTTTGTTTGTTGCTTGTTGTTGTTGTTTTTTTTGTTTTTTGTTTTTTGTTTTGGGATAAGTGGCTAATAATGAAAGTTGAAGCTAACAATAGTATGTCGATAACTAGTAAAAGTGTATATATATATATTGGTAATGGGTACAAGAATCATGTTGAAGGTGCATTCTGTAGTTATCCACAAACTCCAAGCATAATACAAGGCAGTTGAAGTATATACTGCTTTAGTTAGTAGATTTACTTAATTTAATTTTTTTTGTTTTATCTAGAGATTAGAGACTAGAGATAGTGTTAATTAATTAAGATAGTGACGAGCTTAATTTATTAGTAGCTAGCTTCGACTAACAACTTTCTTACAGCCTATAAGACTGCACTCTTTTCCCTATCCTCTCCCCCTTTTGCACTGACAAAAAGATGGTTAAAAAAGAGGAGTATATATATATATATATATGATATATCTATATATATATACTACACTGGCCTGCTTTCTTTATTTAGAGCAATTCATCTGTTCTCTAGTCCCTAGTCTCTCCTGCTCCTGCTTCAATATCATCAATATCTGCTTTTTTGGCCCTCTTGGCTCCTCCTTCAAGATCATTTTTCTTCTTACATTTAAAGCTTTACGCGCATGGCAATATGGGGCTTTTGGGGTTGTGTTCCTTTTTAAAAAAAAAAAAAAAAAAGTGCATTTGATAATTGATTGATTTCATCTTTCATGGCTCCTCTTTCTTATCTTTGTTCATTGAAAACCTAATCACTGCTCAGTTACTATTCTGATTTCCCAGCTGTAGTATCTTTTTAAACATGTCAATTTATTAACTCGTATTTATAACATTCTGAACTTTTTTTATTAAGTGACGTAAGACATGCGCTCATGAATTGAATGATAACCTTGTATATATTTTTTTTAAGCGGTGGCTTTTAGCATTAAATAGGCTAATGAGATTTACTTTCATGATTTTTTTACTTGTCCATTTGCATTAATATAATAGGCGTAATTGCCTCTAATTTCTATCGCCGAATATCGGCGTTTGTCGCCCTTTCAATTTTGATAAATAAATTGTTGTATAGTTTTCCATAAGTATGATTCCTACTCAAAAGTCTCTTTATATTAGTACTTTCGTGAAAGAGATGCATGTTACGTCGCTTTCTATGTTAAATTTTCGTTGTCCTGTACCAAACAAGATGGTGACATATATATACATGTATATATTTTTTCGATGAATAAGATACTTATGCATAATTCAATACAAGTTTCCCAAGTAAATATTCTTAGAAGACCTTTATTCGTCCCCTTTTTTTCTGAATGATTGGCATGTAATTTGATTCATATTGGAACACATTTAAAACATGTAATTTCCTTTTTTTTTTTTTTGGCTCAACAATAACGAAATAACGTGTTTACAAGCCATCTCCATCATATGCATGTTCTCATATTTCTACGTGCATTTTGCATGAGACTTGTTGCAAGTCTAAAAATCAGAGCATCTTCATTCGGTCGTTCTCCAAATATTGTCATCTAATAAAAAAGGGTTTTTCCTACGTGTCATTTTCCTTGCCAGGTGTGCTCAACGTGGCGCGCCGTCTCACGCTCGGACCAACTATGGCAGCGCATCACACGCCGCATCTGGGGCCGGACCCACCTCCGACAGGACACGTGGCGCGACGAGTACGTCTACTGGCACCGTACGTCTCTCAACTTTCTCAACGGCCGTTCCTCCCACGCCGTTCTCCACTTCGACCCCGCCGATCATCCCCGTGACGGCGGTGGTGACCCTGACGCCCTCGCCTGCCGATGCCTCACACTCTCCGACACTCACCTCGCATGCGGTTTTGCTGACGGTGCCGTCCGACTCTTCGAACTCTCCACGCGTCTCCACGTCCGCACCTTCCACCCACCACCACGCAACCTCCTCGGCCGATTCTCACGCGCCGTCACGGGGATTATCCTCCCCGCCGCTAACCACCATCGCAACCGCCTCGTCTTCGGTACACTCGACGGCGACATCCACGTGGCGGTCATTAACGGGACTCCCATTCCCCGCCGGGCCCACGTGGGCCACGTGGTCGAGGACGGGGTCCTGGTGGACTTCACGGGCTGCGGGCGCTGGTGGGTGGGCCTCTACGCTGGCGTACCGGGCCGGGCCTTCCACATTTGGGACGGGAACACCGAGGAGCTCGTCTTCGTTGGCGGGTCGTTGACCGACCCGGAAGCCGTGACGGGTTGGCAAATGCTGATCGAGTTGACTCACGTGGTGGGGCGAGTCCGAGTGACGAGTCAGGAATCGGCCGTGGCGTGCACTAGCTCGAGGGCGATTGCGTTTGATTTGAGGAACCAAGGATTGGTGTTGGGAGAGGAGGAGTATGAAGATGGGTTGACGGCGACGTCATTCGACGTAAGCAACTCGGCGTACATTATCGTGGACAGCAATGGTGTGGCTAGGGTGCGCCGGGTGGGCATGTTAGAGGAGGTGTGCACCTTCTCGGTGAGGAGAGGGGCGTGGCAGAGAGGGGTGATGGGATGCATGAACCGGGGGTATGCGCTAATGTGCGCCGGGGGTGTCATGCGCGTATGGGAGATTAGGCTTGGGAATGGCCAATATCGGTACAGATTCGCGGAGGAAATTGGGGAACTCAACGCGCTCGTGGCAGACGAACGACATGTCGTTGCTTCCTCTAGCGACGGGAGGTTGCGTATTTGGGACTTTGGGGCCCAGTGAATGAAAATTAGTACTTAGTAGCATTAGAATGGGCCCTGTAGGGGCCCATTAACAAGAAGGTAGAGAAAAGAAAGAGGAGAGAGACAGAGATTGGGGGCATGGAACTGACTTGACTGAAGAAATTGTACTTTTTTGTCTTATTATGATTAGAGAGAGAGAGTTGATTGTGGATGGGCGTGGGATACGCTGTTTTGGGGACTTTTTAGGGGAGAGGAGAGGACTATTGTGTTTGACCTTTAGACTAGACAGACTCAGGACTGACCCTTTTTTATTTATTTATTTTAATTTAATTTAATTTGTATTTTAAATTTGTACAGTTTCATGTCTCGTCTCCTTAGTTTGATGCATGTTTTGCTCCGTCCTCTCCGACCAGTTGCTTTCTGTTGTACTTTCACTTATGTATTTTTTTACCTCCTTTGTCTATGAGCGGTGTAATTTTTAATTGGGGGAATCGGTTTTAACTTTAATGCAAAAATAACTAAAAGGGCTGTTCTTTTTTCCTTTCATTTTACTGTCTGTGGAATCTTTTGTTTAAAAATTTAAATTTAAAAAATTATGAATTATGATTTTAAATTCTTTAACTAAAGTTTTTGGGTCTGTTTATTTCATTGATTAGATGTGATTTTGTGTGAGTTTTTTTATTGTAGTAAAAAGGTTAGATTCACCTGTTTTTGAGAATTTTTTACTGTAACGAAACTCGAATCGGCGAAATAAACGGGCCCTTTATTTCTTCTCTTTTGGTATAATTATTTATTGTTATTATTTTTTCTTGGAAGTTATCTTTTAAATTCAACATTACAGAGGTGGCAGTTAAGCATTAAAATACTAACTACAGGTATTTACAGCAATTCTATTTTTCACATCAGTTGCATAAATTATGTTTCAGATTTTTTTCATTTCGCTTCTGTAATTACTATGCCATGTTTCTAATTGGAATTGTCTTAGGAAGATTCATTTCTATTATGCTTAGAGAAAATTAAGGAAGCTGTTTCTTTTAACTCCATTATTTAGTTTTATGCATTTATCCTAAAATTACGTCATTCTCAAGGTGATATACAATGAGAAAAAATACAAAAAAAAAAACAGAACCAAAAATCTTAGGGAAAATGCTCCATGGTCAAAATACCATTTTCATTTTTTTTATTTTTTTATTTTTCAAATATCCAAAACACTTTCTGTGTTTATAACAATTCTATGATTATCGTTAGATTTAAAAAATACTCAAATAAATATTCTAATAAAAAAATACTTAAACTATTTCGAGATATTTTTTTAAGATTGATTTTGTCTAACTTTTTTATTAAATCATTTTTAAAATAACATTTAATATAGATTGGAAAGAGTAATCATGGAATTTTCAAAAATTTATTTAGTAAGGGTATGTTTTGGGACTTTTTTTTTTTTATGATTACAGGAGGTGTTTTAGGGTATAATAAGAGAGACAAAAGTAGTATTTTGGTAAAATATAGGAGTAATTTTTGGTTTTATTCCAAAATCTTATCAAAAAGACAAATCTTTAGTGTAAGGATATTTCTCTAAATTTTCCTTGCAAATACCGTTCATATTTTATTAAAATTATTTGTAGTAACAATACATTTTATAAAAAAAAAAAAAAAAAAAAAGAGAAATTTGGGCAACGGGTGGACAATATGGTGTCCAGGTCCTCGGCCGTACTGAAATTCTATTTAACCATTGTGAAGTAGTACAGGATGTGAGCAAATACACATCTGTTCCATCGTACTCAGTGACAGATATTAATGGTATGGTAGGAAAGAAAGAAAATAAAATAGAAAGAAAATATAAAAATGATGAGAAATAGTAATAATAGAAAGGAAATTGATTTTTTTTATATTGTTTGGTACGAGAAGATGGAAAAAAATGAGCTTATCTTCACTTGTTTAGTATTAGAAGGAAAGAAAAAATCTTATTCGTAAATTACTTTTATACCTTTAAATTTCTTGCTTAGATGTTGATGAAAAAATAATAGTTTAGTAACTTTACTCACTTTAATGAGTTGTCTCTATTTTTCATCTCATTTTCTACCCACTTGTAGAAAGAAAAAAAACAGTGAAATCCATATATATTATTTTTCACTTTATTTTTTCTTTTTTCTTCTACTAAACAACTTATATTTTTATTTTTCCTCTCAAAATCTCTGCACTTTCTTCTTTCCTTCAACTTTTCTTTCCTACCAAACATACTCCAAAAGGGCAATGAACAATGATCTACTCCCAATTGTCCCACTTTCAACTTTCAAGTATTTTCTTCTCCGACAAAATATTTCTCGGTCAAAATCTACGATTATCAGCCTAGCGGATCTTGCTATGTTCCTTTATTCAGGTATCTTTTGTGTAAAGAGGAGACTTTTTTTTTTTTTAAACACATTTCCTTGATTGAGAGAGGTTCTTGAAACAAGTTAACTACTTGCCATTTTATTTGACTGTCTAGGACATAATTTTTTTTTTCTTTTTAATTTTTGTTTGTAATTTTTTTTTTTGAAAGATGACAGATTCAATGACAGTCATGAATTTAGTTCAAGAGAAACATTACAACAAAAAATCCTGAAAAAAAAGACAACAATAAATTTTCTATATTTGGGTGATGAAAACATCAAGGAAAGTATAAAATGATTCGGTTACAAATAGGAAATTTGTGTTTTCTTTCTTTAATTCCAAGTCATACGAGATATTTTAGAGTTTTCTTAGTTTTTTTCTACTTCTCACTTCGATTTCTACGATTACACCTTTTTTTTTTTTTAGTTGTATAATTTTTCTCTGGATAGAAGATTAAATTCCATTAATAATAAGTACTGGTATTCTACTAATTCATCTGGTAGTTTAATATTATCAATCTTTAATGAAGCCTTTTTTATTTTCTCAAGCAATGTGCCTAAATTCACATCTGTATTTAAAGAATTTTCAATGCTTTGTATTTTTGTAGGAGCAGGTGATCAAATTTCCATGCTTTTATGTGCGTTTGAAATTTCTTATTATTTTAGAGTTCTCTCATTTAATTTCTGACTAATGGACTCAATTATCACTGTGACATAGAATTAGTACGCAAATCAGTTTTATTAGGGATTTCACACATGCAGTTCCAATTTGAAGTGAGAGAAAAATACAGAGTCTGAGAGGAGTGAGATGTGAGTTGTTGTTGCTGTTTTTTTATTTTTTATTTTTTGTAATCTTTACAGTGAAATTCGACGCAGCTAAAGATGAATGTGATTTTTTTTTTCTTACACGTACTTATTTGTTTTTTTTTTTTGATTTTATTGCTCTAAGTAGTAAACTATTTTGGCCATCTCCAATACAAATGTTATTACTAATTGTGTGTTTAGCACCAAAAAATATGATATGATATATTATTTTCATTTGCGTTCTGTTACATAATGCTATTTAAAATGCTAAATTTATTTTTTTTTATAATCAATCAAGCTTTGAAAGTTATAAAAGTAAATTTTTTAATTTTAATATATTTAAAAATGCAGAACTTCATAAAAAATAAATAGAAAAGTAAACATATCAATTAATAACAATCAAATATTAAAAATTTACTATATACTACATGCGATGAGAAATTTACCATAAAGTATATGATAAGAACCAGAGGCTGATGATTTATAGTAGGAGGAATAAACGTCAGTGATTAGTGCTGACATTGGTTTGTTGAATAAACTTGTTGAGGAAATTTCTTTGGTAATAGCCTATAAATAAGGAGCGTTAGAGAGCTTAAGCTTTTTTTGAGTAGTATTGAGTTAGGAAGGAGATAAGGTGATCTCTCGAATATCACCATTGTTAGAGGGATTATTAGTTTCTGAATTGAATCCATATTTTCCATTCTGTTTCCTATCAATTTGTTGTGGATTCTATCAAATTGGTATCAGAGTAATTTGACTGGGAATGGTAGCTAGGAGAGCTGAGAAGAACATGGATGGAAGAATGGAATTTGTTGAGAACGACGTCGGAGAACTTAAGTCGGACGTCAGAGAACTTAGGTCGGACGTCGGAGAACTCAAAGGAGTCGTTGGACAGCTCTCGGAGGACGTCGGAACAGTGAGAGAATACATGAAGGAGCTTATGTTGGTCACCGAATCGAATTCAGATGTGGAAGCGTGGGGGGAGGCGGATCGTGTATAATAAAAATTTTCATAAAACCTTTGAGATACTCTATAGATTATATTAATTTATGCAAGAATAAATTAATCTCATTAATTTATTTATTACGAACTCAATTACAAATAATACCTGGCGGCCGATTAGGATGATAACTTGAGTTCTTTGACCTCGAACAATCCTTGCTCCAAAGCTTTGTGTTTAGAAAACCAATGTCTTCCACGTCAATTCTTAAAATCCATGAAGACGTGTGTGTGGGCACACATGAGACAAAACGGGTTACAATAAACACTCGAATTTTCACAAACACCAACGCATGCACGATGTGAAATTTTTAGAGAAAAAGTTTTCCTTCCCTCACTCTAAGAGAATTTCGGCCAGCCTCTGTAATTAGGGCAAAAAATTCTTTCAAAAATTGTCACGCGCAATTTTCTAGCATTCTCTTATTTATAGAGTAGAAGTCAAACTTCTAGAAGGAATCTAATCTCTATCTCCAAGATAAAGCTTGTTAATTATCTCTTATTTAAATTTGAAACAAAATCTCACATTCCCTTATCCTTAGTGTGGCCGGCCACCTTAGGGGATTCTCATATATGTGTGGCGTCAATTTGCAGATAGGGAAGGAAGAGAAAATCATCATTTATCCTGTAGTCCAATTTTAACTCAAATTCAAATTTCAATTTAAGTCAAACTTAAATTAATTTGAATTCTAAATTGAACAACTTATCAAATAAGTTTAAATGGATAAATCTAGATGTGTTCAAATTCAAATTTAAATAATCACATTATTTAAATAATAATTAATTCTCAATTAATTATTTTTGAGTGTTTAATTTTAGAATTCCGTAATTCTAAAATTCCCATTTTGACCTTTGTATCTTGTAGAAT